AAATTACAAAGTAAACTATGGCCTTTTTCAAAATGTTTCATAATACTATTATATTTAGTTACTCTCTTTTGATTTCTGATTTTATTTTAATCAATTAATTATTATTCAATTATATTTGAGTTGTGGTGAGAAAAAAAAAGATTTGGATATTTATTTGCAGTAGCCAAATGGAGATTCTAAAATTGTATAATAAATAGTAATGAAATAAAAGAAATGTGATTTGTTTAGGATAATTTGGCCAAAGAGTTGGGCATTAATGAGATCATGAGATAAGTGTTTTCCAATTAGAGAAAAAGGCTCATTATTGTAACATTAAACTTACAAATAAGGGTAACATGCAACATGCAGCGCGGCCGACAATTTATTTCCCCCATTGAATTTAGAATTACATGTGTACCCAACCTCTCTCCATGAGTTTGCACATGCTATCACACTATCAATCTAAACAAACGTGTTCATGTGTTTCACCACAAGTTAATATGTGACAGAATTTTTTTGCAGTTAGTGTTTTAAAAGTGAACAGATCTACATAGTGTAGAAGAAATTTATGTTTATTAAATTTTATAACAAATAATAACTATTTTAAAATAATATTATTAAATTCTTTTAGTTAATAATATAAAACATTATATAGACTACAAATTATGCTCTTGTTTTAAACCGTCCAAACCAGATCTGTGAGAAACTATTTTCAAACAAAATATATAATAAAATTAGTGGTTCCAATAATAACTATTATGATAAAATTTAATTTAATCCTACAAATTTATAAGAATTATTTACTAAAATTCTTTATTTAAACAACGTGTTATTTTTAGTTTTTTCTATAATAAAAAAATTACATATAAGTAGAATTATTCTTTTACCAAAAAAAAAACAAATTTTTTCTCTTTATTAATATTTGACTTAAATGTTATTATTCTAATGAAAGAAAAAAAAACAAGAATTCATTATACCCAATCTCTTATATTAAATCTTACTACCACCATTATTATTATCATTAAAAAAACCAAAGAAAAAATGTCAATTTCCATATCTTATTAAGAGCATGTCTTTTGTACGAAGAAAATTTAAATTTAGTTATTTAGGTATTTCTATATTTAACTCAAAATTAAAAATCGATTAACAACTCGGCTGCTCATTCATTAACCAGTTGTATAGCTTTATGCTGTCAATTATTATTTTTATAATTTAAATTCCCATATATATGATTTTTAATATCTTTCAGTATTTATAAATTCATAAGGTAAGAGTAATAAAAATTAAAAACAAAATACTATAATAAGATTTAAAAAAATTAGAAATAAAATGTTTAAGAATTAAAATATATCATTTTACGCATAGAAATGATGAGTGAAATTTGTTTGATTATAAAATGTAAATAAATAATTAAACCTTGAAATTTTATGAAAAGAATATATAATAAGTCACAGATACAGAGTATAAAGCATTTGAATAATATAACGTTGAAAACTAACCTGTAAGAAGGGGGATTCTTGGGCCAGAAATGGTAATTGATGGAGGAAGGTGGCCAGAGAATGTGGAACAAATGATCCACCCAACCTTTCTTACCGTTGGTCTCCTTTTGAAGCTTTGTGCCATAACCTTCCAAAGAATGAGAGCCAGCAGGCTTAGCAATTAACTCTTTTTCTTCTTGAGGCAATTCAAAGAACTCTTTCCCCACACTCTGCAACTTCCTTATAAGATGGCTAGGAATCTCATGGTTCACAATCTGAAACATGCCCCACTCTCTACTTGCCTCCACGATCTCATCCAACACTTTCTCTTCGTTTGGGTTGCTAAAATCAATTATTGGCACTTCAAGGTTCACCCCTTTCACCGTTGTCATTCCCGGTTGCTCTGTTTCTGCCCTAACAAACATGGCTGGTATTGCACCGTCCTTCTCTTGTGAAGCAATGGTTTGAACCCTCAGCACCTCCATCTTTCTTCCTCTCGTCAAAATTGGACTTGCTTCCTTTCGGTTTATACAACTTAAACCACCACCTAACATTTTACCAAGTCTCATTCATTACCAATAAATGATGCACTTGCCTTTCCCCAAGTGAAACTCTTCCCAGCCCATTACCACACGTTAGTGCTACCAAATATGTTCTCACTCCTATAGTACTATTAATTGTCATGCTTTTTTCCATCCAATAATGAAACCTATCAATTCTATATTACCTAATTAAATTATTTTTTTTTAGGTAATTTGTTATGATGTCTCAAAAATATAATTAAAAAAACTGTCATTAATTGTGTAGAAAAAATACTTATTTAACCTACTATATTTTTTTTAGGATAATGATATTTTTACAATACTTTTTTGACAATTTTTTAATATCATTTATATGTATTGGTCCAAAATTACTTCATAATCAATAATAATAATCATAAATACCAATATGAACCAATCACACACCTAGATGATATTAAAATATTGTGAAAAAGATGTTGTCAAAAGTATTATTATATATTTTTTTAATTTTGGATTTATTATTAGAACAATTTGACTGTAATTTAAGAACCATCTAGAATTTATATTTCATTCTATTTAATTATTATAATCAATATTAACCTCAAAAGTGTAACTTTTTTATTCTACAAGGATAAGTTTGATCAAGGTAGAACTTTTCCTTTTAATTTTTTTTTCTCTTATACCTTCTATCAGTTTCTTAATATATCTTTTATAGTTACTGTACTTAAATGATATACATTATAAAATAAATTAAAAAAATTTCTAATTTAATTTTCATTATTACACGAATTTAATTTTAAATTTTTTGGAGAGGTTGTCTCAACTAAGAGAATGGATTGGATTTTATAAGAAGAGAATGATATGCAATCAGTGTGGTTAAATTTTCAAAGATTTTAGTTTACTTCATGTGATTAATGTGAGTATTTAACATAAATTATTATATTATAAATATTTTAGGAAATATATTTTTTTCACATCTTTGTAGGAAAATTTTAACGCATAAAATTCATCTTTCTTTTATGTTTTTAACTTTTCACGTTTTCATTCTATATGACCTCTTTGCTTTTAACTTTTTATTATTTTTCGCTCATGAAAATAAAAAAAATACTTGGAATGATAACATCCACACAAATTTTGTGACTGTTAAATTAAAGACATTTATTTTGTTAGAAATGTAGATAAATGTAGAAATGGGGATGAATGTGGTTGGTTGCAGATCAGGAAGTAGTTGAAATGGACGGTTCTGATGTCACCGTAGTTAGTTTCTAGAACACGGTGATGGGCATGATGACTATACCGACACTACACCCCCTCATGTTACCCACCACCATCTATACTTTCTTCATGCAAATGCAACCAACCACACTGTAGTATTTATAACACTTTTTATTTTATTTTTGCTAATATTATTTTTAATTTTTAATTATTTTTCAGTTTTATTTAAATATTTCATTGTAAACTGTTTGTTATGAATAATATTTTCATCTTTGATTTATCAATTTATTTATTTTTTTTAATATTTATTAACTCATAGGATAATTTATTTGAGTTGAAAAAATTAAATTAGAAAAAAGAAATCATATCTACCTATAAATTGATAATGTACAATCACGTTATATAATAAAAAAATATATTTTAAATACTTATTAAAATATTTTTGTATAAAATTTCATTATGAATATTCAAAATTTATAAATTATTTATAACTTAACTAAAATTTTAAAATAATTTAGTTAAAAGTTAAAATATTTTAAATTAAAACTAATGAAATATGCAAATGTAAGGTTAAATAAAAACATCGCATTGAAATAGAAATAGAACGCAGACTTTATTCGCTTTATAAGATCTCAATTATTATGTCAAAAAATGTGTAAATCATCATGGTCCTTTTTAAGATTTTTTCTCAAAATAAAAAATCAGTCACTCAATGATATTTTTTTAGAAAATTTCCTTTTTAATTTCAATTTCTCTTTCTTTTAATCTCATGATTAAATATGATATATTTTTTCTAAGATCATTAAATTAAAAAGAAAAAAAGAAGAAGAGATGCTCTGTAAAACATATCATATGAGAATATATGGGCTCTCTTACATGATATTATATAAACTATTAAAATCAAAATACTTACCAGTAAATATGATAATATAATCACTCTGATAGTCACTCTTTGTAGGAAGATTTCAGATGGTTTTTCTTTCTTACCCAATACAACAAAATCTTCTCCTTTCAACTGTGTTCTGACATCAAACCTAACTCAGATTTCCACGTTATGGAGGGTTGCATGCTTAATTAATATATACTTACAAATCTTCTTTCACTTACAATTTATTATAATCTCATAACTATAGTACCCTCTTTCTACCAAGGTTTCTTTCATTTTGGTTAAATCATGTTTATTTCCTCTTCGCTAAACCATGCTTCTTTCATTTTGATTTTCTACGATTTTATATTAAGAAGGCCATCTTTTTTACCATTTTACTTAATGACTCTTGCATGGCCCACCATTTCTTGAAATTATGGCATGAAAATTTAATTTAACGCATGAATTTCTCTAATGGTTGAAGAACTGATGGTTTGGAAACTTCTTCTTTGTTAGATTTTAAATAGATCAGTGGTCTACATTAATATATAATAAAATAATATATTTATTTTATAAATGTATATATATAGATTATTATAAATATCTAGAAATTGACATAAATAAAATAATATATTTATTTTATATATATATATATATATATATATATATATATATTATAAATATCTAGAAATTAATATTTTAAAAGTGATAATAGTTTATAAATAGTGAAATTTGATTATTTTAATATTAAAAGGTTTTAATATAAATAGTTTTGATATAAACAAGTTTTATAATTTTAAATCACATTATTTCTCTAGATTTTCTTTTTTTAGAGCTCTTTATTTTCTCCCTAAGCTTTTTAACCACATCTTCATTTGTTTGAAGATTGAAGATCACCAGAGCAATCTTTAAAGCGAGTCCTCCACTTTCATTTAATTAGTTTCTCAGATAGAGTAAGTTAGTTTTCTACTGCTTCTTTTAGTCTGTTTTGTCTTCCTTTATATGCAAAACTATGTTGCATGTGGGGTTTGAGTATTCTATAAGACTCTTTGATTATTAGTGGTCCTAATAGTGTACCATGATCAAGTTTATGTTGTTTGTAGAAGCAGATTGAGTTTATTGTGCTTTTGGAGCTGTTGTAAGATTTATAGAGTTGTTTAGTCATCTTTTAGATAAGGAAAACTAATTGCTTTGTTTTAAAGTTATAAATGTGATGAATATGGTAAATTGCATGTTTGATTGATGTGAATATGTTCAATTGCTTATTTGGTGTTTGAGTTGTTGAAATCTAAATGTGTTACTGTTTGTGTGTTGTTTTGTTTGTCTGAATTAGTGTTGAGTTGAGGACCTTAAGATCTGATCATTTGACAGAGTTGGTATGCATTCTAACATTGAAAACTATTTTTGAACCAAACACTAAGCAAGGAATACCAATTTAATCATCTAAACAGATATTGTTTTCAAAAAATCATAAATTAGATATTTTGTTTTCTAGTATTGCGCTGAATGGTGACAAGATAGAGATATGTATAGCAAGTATGTTTATATCTTTTTACTTTGACCTTTTTAAGTGTTTTAAACATTTTTTTCAGTTTTCTATGTTTTCTGATGTTTCTTTGTTTACAAGATTAGTTGATATGTTTAGTTTGTAATAGACTTTATTAGTTAGTGGTTTAGTTATTTATTTCGTGATTTATTTTCACATAGGTATTATGTCACGATTTTCTAAAGGAAGAGGATTACGTGAATGTCTTGCCTTTTACCTAATTGGTTTTTGGTGTACTATCAATTTATCATATATAATTTTTTTTTGTTTTTGAACGTTGAGCATTTAATGTTTGCTCAGAACAACAAAATGTTTTTTGATTTCCTACCGCTAGGTAGCTTTTTGCAATTAAGCTTTTTTCTAAAGATATCAAGTATTGTATAGAGATTTCATCGTTGGACGAAGTATTTTCTAACGCTTATGGTATCGTTTAGTCAAGTAAACGTTTCTTTTGATTTTGTCTCTTTTTAAACAGACAATGTTTAACTTGTTAAAGCTTTCTTTTTGTATCTTCATAACTAAAGTCTTTTAAAGTGTTTTGTCAGCGACATCGTCTCGACTGTTTTGCTTTCGAGAGTTATGTTGAATACCTTATTCAGGTATGATGAGCATTAAGCGTTTTACTTCAACTCTCTTAGACGTTTTAGGCACAATAACATTTAACCATGCGTTTTGATGTTTTAGCCTAGATATTTTCTATTACCTAAGATTCTAAGTGTTTTCCTAAGTTTTTCTATGTTGTGGATTCTAGTCCTAAGTCTTTGTATAGGATTTCTATGTTTGAGGATTTTGATTGTAGATTTTCTATATTGAGAGTTCTGGTTATAAATCTTATGTTTTCTTGTTTATCTTTTCTCCTAAGTTTGTTATCCTCATTTGATTTTTTTGTGGTTTTCTATAATAGACTCTTTCTTATACGATCATCCTCATATTTTCTGTGTTTAGGGTTTTTCCTTTAGCTTTTGTTCTTTATTTCGAGATTTTCATTTGACCTTTCTAGTTTTATAGTTTTCTTAACCTAGCATATCAATTGGGGTATTCTCACCTTGTATTTTTCTTTAGTGTTTTCCTAACTCAAGGTTGGTTTTCTAATTTAGAATATTCTACCTTAGTGTTTGGTGTTTTGTTTCTTATCCAAAGGTTGGTCTCCTAATTTAGAGTTTTTTATCTTAGTATTTGGTGTTTCAGAACTGGGTGGTTTGCTAAGTGTTTTTCTGACTTAGAGTTAGCTTTCCATACATAGAAACTTTTGAATGGTTTGCTTAGAGTTAGTTTTTCATACATAGAGACTTCTTCGTTATTTTTTCATACTTGATCTCTTTCTCAACAACTCGCATGTTCTATGGTATAATAATGTTGCGAAGATTCATAAATATTGATTGTTTTCCTTCCATGGATAATTTAGGATTTTAAAAAAAGGGAAAAAGAAAATATAGTAACAAGAACCGACAATGCATTGTTTTTAATTTATTCACGCTCCTGTTGATAGGAGAAGAAAATAAAGTTTAAATATATTTTAAGTTTCTATAAAAAATAATTTCATCTTAGATTTTAAAAATAAATTGTTTTGTAATCACTCAATATTAAATTTGTTTAAAGTGACGAGAATTCTCTTTCCCGAAATGTATTTATTTTAATATCTTTTTTGAAATGTATTTATATTAATATCTTTTAGAAACATATTTATTTTAATATATTTTAGAAATTTATTTATTTTATTATCTATGTATTTTAAAATATATTTCTTGATCTAAAAATATCATTTTTGTAAATGCACATTCTAAAATATATTTAAAAAAACTTCATTCTAAATCGAGAAATATATTTTAAAACATATATATTTTGAGATATATTAAAAAAATTAAATTTAAAATATATTTTTTGAATTTAATAATATATTTCAGATGTGTGTTTTAAAATGTTATACTTTTTAAATACATTATATATATATATATATATATAATTTATAAAATATTTCTACATTTAGAAATATATTTCAAAATATTACTTTAGAATATATTTATGGTATTTATTTTCTAAATACATTTTAAAATACACATTTCAAAATGTATTTCTTAATCCAGAAATACTCTTTTTAGAATGTACATTTGGAAAGGCATTAAAAAATAAAGATGTTGGAACAAATTTTAGTTTTTATAATAATTTTAATAAGATGTGAGTTTGGATTTATAAATTTTAAGGAGATGAGGAAGAAATAAGGGAGATGCATACAGCCCTGATGTAGAACAATGAAGTTTCATTCCTGCACAGGCCAAAAAAAAATTCTTCCAAAAATTTCATTCAACACAAAAAATCTATTCACCTATTAGTTTTATCACATGCCTATACAGAAATTAAAAACAAATAATTTCTTCAAAAAAATAAACAACTATTTTCTAAAACAAGTTAAACCAAATACGTCCTGTCCTATCCTATCCAGTTATAACATAAAAAGCTGTTTTAAGAAACTTTTTTCATAAGCTTTTTTCAAAAGAAAAAATTAAGTAACTTTTGCATTAACCAAAATAACTTGTATACAAGTTAAAAGTAACACTTTTAAAAAATCATACCAAAAACTTGTTAACTTGATATAAATTAATAGAAAATTCAATTTCAATTTTTTATAAGTATTTTAAAAAAAATCGTCCAAACAAGTCTCGTTTACTTAAAAAAATTGTGAAAACCATGTGCATTGTTTTACGAACAAAAACAAAAGTATAACACCTTCGAGCCATAACCAAGCTCAGAGCTGAAGAAAAGTTATGCAGTGGTACATATGTTACTAGTCATTGGTCATATGAAAATATTAACATTCAACAATAAAGTACAATATTGTTATTTCGGCCTATGCCCACATATAAAGCTTGAAACTCTTATCAATGCTTACATGGCACACCAGTTCAACATCTGATACGAACCGTAAAATGCATGGCATATATTCACAAAATGGATCTCTAACAGTTAACCACAGCAGGAGCCACAGGCAGGAAGTGAATCTGGAAGTAAAATGGAATAAAAGCAACCCCCAACACAGAAGAAATCATTAGCAAACGAAAACTACAGAGGAAAATTAAATATCTAATAGATAAAGATTAAAAGCAATGTAGACAACAAAAAACTTACTATGATCACGTCCCCTTATACTATCTAGACCACGGACGTTGTCAAGACCCCCACGAGGAGGGCCTCGTGGACCACCACCATATGGTCCGCCACCGCCACCGCCACCACCACCAGGACCTCCTCCAGGAGAACCACCATCCCATTTTTTACCAACAGCACCTTTTCTATAGTTATCTGATTTTTCCATCTAAAGAGGGAAACATCATGAGCACGCGAGAATTGTACACAATAACCACATATTCCTTAAATTTCTTTTCTGTAAATCAAGAAACATGTAAAAGTTACCGAGAACATTGTTGTAAAAAACACGCCAATAATATTAATAATGGCCCAGAAAAAATCTGTGATTGTCTTAAGCCGCCATATTGACCGCTTTGATTTGACAACACCTGCACAAAATGCATCAAGCTCCCATAATGAATCGATATGAAGACATATAATCATTTCAGTGTAAAGAAAGAAATTCTCTTAAGTCCCGAATTGAAAATAACTTACAATTAAATAAAAGGCAAAACTATTCAAATAAAATCAACACGTACACCTCCTCAACTTCTGAAAGTTGAAGTGTATAAGTTGATTTTAGATTATATAAATGCAATTCATTTTAATTACGTAGTTCTTTGCACTAAAAGTGTTCAATTATCCAAATAGGGCCTACAACAGATTTCTTTTTTATCCATCACACAAACCAAAAGACTGTCTACGCATTAAAAAGCAGTACAATAATATTCCAGACATTTAGTTTTAAAGGAACCAGAGAAGAGCTAGTAGCCTTAAGTAATGTCAGTCCAGAGCTTATTTTGGGATGCTACCCTTAAAAGAAAAAGTAAAACCAAAAGAATTTTGAGAAAAAAAAATACTTCAAAAAATTTTAATGAAATTTTTTTAATATGATCTTTTAGAGAAGCCAGTTTTAGAAGTTTTTGGATTCTACTCCTACTTTTCGATCCATCGCACAAGCCAAAAAGTCTGTCTACGCATTAAAAAGCAGTACAACAAAATTCCAGATATTTAGTTTTAAAGGAACCACATCATAGCAGGTAGCCTTAATGTTAGTCCAGAGGTTATTTCGGGTTGTTTCCCTTAAAATAAGTTAGACAAAGTTTACTGTAACAACATTTCACTAGGAATTTTGCCCATAACTTTACCATCCAATTTCTATTTATCAAGTTGACCAATAACTTCAACTACAAAGTTGGCCATTCAAAGGAGGTACAATTGCAGTCACAGCCATTTAGGATAATTATGAAAATATCAGAGCAGTCTTTGTATTGTTCTTACTTAATTCTTCCCTTTCCAGCAGCATTGCAGTGGAGAAAACCAAAACGAGAAAGGGAGGAATGAAAACTAAAATAAAAACAGAGGTAAAATGAAGATCTGCAAGCAAGAAATGGAAAAGGGAGAAATATCAAAATCTTTTAGTTCTACCCTTGAATATATGTACCCGGTGCAAAAGAAAAGGACTGCGTGTACCTCGTCTGTATAACTATCATATATTTACCACAAATCTCAATGTATAAAAATAGTTCATTAATTGGATAACACATATTTTACAAAAAAACATAACATAATTCTCAAGAAAATAGAATTTAAACCTAACTCAATCTCACAAACATGCTTGAAATTTGCACCTACCAATATATTATAGTGTTATATATTATTGCAATTTGAACTTCTCTTTAGTCAATGTGAACTCTTCAAGGCACCTCTTCACATTGAATATTGTACATCTCAAGCATAGGACTAAAGGGAACAGATAATGGATAATACAATAGGCCTAACAAAAGCTTGACAAAGATAAGCTCTGAATGGCTATGATATCATTTTAAGCAGGTGGGATTTAAGCCTACCTGAACCTCAAAAATTCACTTAATAAGGTAAAATTTGCACATATCTATATATTATGATTTGAGCTTATCTCTAGTCAATATGAGCTCTTCAACAATAATTATGCCATTTAGAATTACAGCACATCTCCATAATTTTATCCAACAAAATTTCAAAATAACAAATATATAAAAGAATGAGAAGATGCACAACTATGTAATTGGAAAAAAAGAAGCTCATGATTCACCAATGCCCCTGAAACAGATCCAAGAAATTGATCCAAATTGAAATGAAACTACCTTGATTTACCAACAATAACACCAAAGAACCTCCTCTAAATTGTAAATGGTAGTAACCATTATTCACTCCAGCAACTCCACTAATTAGTCTTCACTTTTATTATAAAAGCCACCTCAGTAACAGATACTATATCAGCATTGCTAACATTACTAGTTACATTGGAGCTAAAGTCACAGAAAATAAGAAAATGAAAAACACTGCTCACAATCCCTCATAGGATAGTTGAGCGCCATCAGCACTTCAGAGCAGGATTAACCTATTCTCTAC